GTGTGTGTGGCGAGAGTAGACAGCCAGAGCCCGAGTAGTGCCAACGCCACCAAGATGGTGGCCGCGGTGCGGCAGCAGATATTGGATTTCTTCAACGCTTCGGCCAAGGACTACTCGGTGGTGTTCACCGGTGGCGCCACGGCTGGTCTTAAGTTGGTACTTACATCCGCCTGCACGTCCACTCAGCGTACAGTTACCTAGTGGGAGGTGCGACAGTGACCTGCAACGCGGGTGTTACTTCATCTCGTGACCACCAGGTGGGTGAGTGCTTCCCGTGGACTTCGGAGAGCGAGTTCCGCTACGCGCTCAAGTCTCACAACTCGGTGGTGGGCATTCGCGAGTATGCTGCTCACTTCGTCTTGGCGGCTGAAGCGACTACTTTCTTGTCTGACCACCGTGCATGCACGTCGTCAACGACAGGTATGCTCTGGAAAAGGGCGCCTCGTTCAAGGTGGTTGAAATGGAAGAGGAGGAGGAGGAATGGCGAAAGCATGGCGACACAGGCGACCGGGGAACGCAGGACAACAGCAGCGCGCGCAACTACAGTTTGTTCGCCTTCCCCGGTGAGTGCAACTTTTCGGGAGCCAAGTACTCGCTGGAGTGGGTCACGCGCTACCACAACAAGCGAGGCGAAGACAAGACGTGCGTAGCCCTCCCCACCCGCCATCTTCCATTTGCCCCGCGCGTTGCACTCGGCTTCGTTTAACTACGAAAGATCACGCCAACTCTGCTCTGTAGGTGGCTCGTGCTGGTCGACGCAGCAGCGCTGGCCGCAAACACGCCGATCGACTTGACAAAGTATCCGGCCGACTTCGTGGTGACATCGTTCTACAAAATCTTTGGTTACCCGACGGGCATCGGTGCCCTCCTCGTCCGCAATGGTAGCCACTCCCTCTCTTCTTGGTCCAAGTGCTCACTCGTCGATCTTGGAGGCCTCCTCACACAAGAATTGCACGCATCTGAAACTCAGAAAGCGCCGCACTGTTAAACAAGACCTTCTTCGGAGGCGGAACCGTAGAGGCGTCGCTTAGCACGGAGAGGTACTGCAGCAGATGTGACTGACTCGAGGCACACGATCGGTACTGACTGGCGTGCGCTCAGGTACCACGTGCTGCGGAAGTCTGCCTCAGAGCGATTCGAAGATGGCACGGTTCCGTTCACCAGCATCGTGGCGCTGAAGTTCGGCCTCGACACCCTATTGCAGGGACCCGCGCCTGGAGGTACTGAGCAGCGCAGCCCACGCAAACAACGCTGGCCTGTGGTTCATCGCTGCCTCGATGGTCTCTTCTCAGGGATGGCCAACGTCCAGCGACACACGTTTTGCCTTGCGCAGTATCTCCACGCCCAGCTGGCCGAGCTTCGCCACTACAACGGAGCTCCCGCTGCCGTGATCTACGGCCGGCATCACCTCAAGGACTCGTCCCAGCAGGTAACCCTCACCTCGTCGTGTTCGAACGTTACGCATGTGACCGCGTAAAGAAAAAGGGGCATCACCTAACCCACCAGCACGCAGGGTCCGATAGTGGCCTTCAACCTGCGCAAGGCGTCGGGAGAGTGGGTGGGCTACAAGGAGGTCGAGCAGTTGGCGGGGATGGAGAACATACACATACGGACGGGCTGCTTCTGCAATCCCGGCGCCTGCCACTACTATCTGGGCCTCACGTCCGCCGAAGTCAAGCAAAACCTTGCGGTACGTGTGCCACCATCACATTTTGGCTTTGAGACTCAGTGATGATGATGATGAATGCCCGACAATACAGGCCGGTCATGTTTGCTGGGACGGCCACGACGTAATGAATGGGAAACCCACCGGCGCCATCCGGGCCTCGATCGGTTACATGACTTCCTGGGAGGACATCGACGTACGTGAATCGCTGTCCCCCGGGGTGGGCCCGGCACTCCACACCCCGCAACCGCTCTTACCCTTTCTCTTCTCCCTCACTCTTCCAGACCTTTTTGAGTTTCCTTCGAAAGTATTTCGTGGAGACTGGGCCTGCGCTGGCCACTGTCGGAGCTCTGAGTTCAGAGGCGCACAAGGAGCTTGACCTCCGCCTCTCGGGTCTGTTCGGTGCGTGAATACTTGATGATGGCCCCAATCGATCGCTGGCCCTGGAGTACTTAGCGTTGTGTGTGTGGCGTGTGGCGGGGACACAGTCTATCCGATCAAGTCTTGCAAAGGGTTCGAGATCAGCGGCGAGTGGGGGATAGGAGATCACGGATTTGTATATGACAGGGAGTGGATGATTGTAGATGAGACGGGGTCCGGTATCAACCAAAAGAAGGTGCGTGGCCTGCTCACATACCGCCCACCCCCTCAGTGCCTGCCGCTACCGCTTCCGCTCAGCCCAACGCCTCCACTTCAGGTGAGCAAGTTGTGTCAGATTCAGCCTACAGTGGATAGGGAGCAGGGCAAGCTGCACATCGATGCACCTGGTAAGCACCTCCCTCCGCAAGCCCCACATTCTCAGCATTTATGATGACACCACACTCAGCTCTGTCCACTCACTGACGGCTTACCAGAAATGGAGCGCCTCTCGCTTGACCTTGCCCGCTTCCCCGATGAGGAAATTGCGCTGGACGTGTGCGGCGACGCCGGCGCAGGCCGGCTGTACGGTGACGAAGAGGTGAAAGAATGGTACCTATGCCTCCCCTCTCAGCTCCCCCCCATTAAATGTGACGTCACCAGCGCTGATGCAGCGCTTCACTGCAGGTTGCATTCGTTTTTGGGAATCAGGTGCACCCTGGTGCGCAAATCGCCGACCAAGCTGCGCAAGGCTGGTCGGAGCCGGGGCGGACAGACGGAGGACGAGGCGGTACGTGCTTATTAGCATTTTAGCTTCACGGCTTCATATCATCAGCATCATGCTTTAAAGTGACTCGGCGACCTCGCACGCTCTTGCATGGGAATAGGAGGGGCCGAGGCGAGAGATAGCGTTCGCCAACGAAGGGCAGTTTTTGCTGGTGTCAGAGAACTCGGTGGACGACCTCAACCTGCGACTGCGCGCCAAGGCCAGTCCGCTCCAGATGGAGGCCACTCGCTTCCGCCCCAACATCATCCTCCAGCGCACGCCGTCCCTCCCGCCCTATGCCGAGGACGCCTTTGCCGGCATCATGATCGGCAACCAGGTCTTCAATGTACGCCATCAATTTCCCGCATTCCCGCCTTTGATCAGACGCTGACATTCGCTCGCCTTGGGACTAGGCCTTGGGGCTTTGCGGTCGGTGTCGCATGGTGGGTATCAATCAGGCCACGGGTTCGTTCGACAAGGAGCCCCTGCTCACCCTCGCCTCGTATCGACGGAACAGCGTACGTACCTTGCCACCGTCATCTTCCGCAGTGATGAGGATTACACACGCTAAAACGTGAATTATGATGTACAGGGAATGATCATGTTCGGCCTGCAGCTGGTGCACGACAAAGAACGATCCCCGCAACCTCATGTCATCAGCCTTGCCGCGCCTGTGCGCATCCTTGAAGAAAGTGGGCTGTGATAAAACCGCCGTCGTGCGCTGCGTCAGTTCGTGGTGATTGAGGGAGAGGGGGGGGGTAAGAACAAGGGAAGCAAACTGAACGCGTGTTTCGCCAGTCCTGCTTTCTCCGTGTGGAGCTCTGAATAAGTTCCTTTTGTGACCAAACGTCGAAGATTTTGACAAGATGGATGAGCTGCCGCCAGAGGTCTGGCAGTGCATGTTTCAGCACCTGCTCGAGGGGGTGGGTCCCCAGCGCTCTCTGCTCGAGGCGCTATCGTGCGCCGCCGTGTGCCGCCGTTGGCGCGCCATGGCCCATGCCGGGGTGGGAGGCGAGCTCGACCTCTTTTCCTGGCGCAAGGCGCTGGGCGATGCGCAAGTGGCCCAGGTCGCGGGGCGCTTCGTCCACCTCACGGCCCTCTCCGTCTCTCGCTGCCCGGGCGTGACCGACGCCTCCCTCCACGCCATCGCCTCCAGGTGAGTGCCCTAACTCTTGCGAACAACCCCCCCCCCTGCTGACCCTCGACCACTCGAACTGCTGTAGCGAGTGCAGGACGTCGCTGACCCGCCTTGAGCTGCTGGCCTGTGAGCAGGTGAGCCTGTGTCGTGTGTGTGTGTGTGTGTGTGTGCAAGTGCGCCACTCATGGTGTGGGTGGGGTGTACAGCTTGGGTCGGATGGGGCGATGCAGCAGCTGTTGACGCAGTGCACGCGCCTGCGAAATCTCACCATCACCAACAGCTCGCTCGTCAAGACCCTGGGGCTTGTCGCTGCTCGTCTGCCCGGCCAGCCCGTCACCTGCATTCCCCCGCTCGTCCTCCAGACCCTCAAGTATCTCCCTCCACTCGTGTTCTAGCTGTAAACGACCATGGTCTAACCACTTCGTGCCAGGCTGCGAAGCTGCGCGAACGTCAACAACTCCACCCTGGCGCTCATCGGCCGCGCTTGCCCCGACCTGCGCGAACTCACCCTGACCGGATGCAGGAAGCTCTTAGACGAAGGCCTGTGCCGCTTGGTGGGCCTGGAGGACCTCGTCCCGCAGCCCACCGACCCGTCGGCCTCGTCGTCCTTGGCGCCTGCTCCTGCGGGTCCGTTGACGGTCGTAGCGCAACGCTCTGAGGTGACTGCCGAGCCGGCGGCGGGCTGCACGCGACTCGAGAAGCTGGTGCTCCGGGGATGTTACCTTCTCACGACAGCCGGTCTGCTCCGGGCCATCCCAGTGCTGCTCAACCTCACCAGCCTCGACATCGGCGCCAACCGGAACGTGGATGACCACACACTGAAGGGCCTCGTGCCCTTCCTGCCCAACCTCACCTCGCTCTCCCTGGCGACCTGCATCAACGTCACAGGTACGTCTTCTTGGCGTGTGGCGTGATCACTCGCTCACACAGCGCCGGTGTAATCAGACAGCGGCTTGGCGAGGGTCGGTAAGTTGACCGGGCTGACCTCGCTCAACCTGCGGGCGATCAGCGCGATCACGGACCACGGGCTGCCGCACCTGATGACCCTCTCGCGCCTCTCGCGCCTGGTGCTCAAGTTCTGCCCGCGCGTCGAGGGCAGCGGGTTCATGAGCTGGACCATAGGTCCGCAGCTCCCGCTCGAGGTGCTGGACCTGCAGGGGCTGGAGCACCTGACCGACAGCGCCCTCGAAACGCTGTCGACGTCGGACTACGCCGGCCGCCTGGCCGATCTGGACCTACGCTCGTGCCCCCTGGTCTCCAACCGGGGGCTCCATTTCATCACCGCCACCGCCACCAACCTGCGCACGCTGCGGCTCGAGGCCCAGGAGGAGATCGACGGCGACGGCCTCGCGCTGGTCCAGCGCCGCCTCGGCCACAGCCTCACCACGCTCGACCTCGAGCGCATGCCGGGACTCACCGACGACGCCGTCGCGCAGCTGGAGTGGCCCGCGCTCGAGATCCTCAGCTTCCAGGACTGCGCGCAGCTGTCCGACGCGAGCGTGCGCACCGTCAAGGACCGCTGCCCGCGTCTCCGCCTGCTAAACCTCAGCCGCTGCCCCAACATCACGCCCGCCCAGACCGACGAACTCGCGCAGCGCATCGAGACCGTGCTCCGCTAGCATGTAGCCTTGCGAACTGTTGTACAACCATTGTATTTTCCTGTGTGTGCGTGTTATCAGGGCGCGCAGCAACGAGCGAGCGCGTCGCGGATGTGCGCGCGGAGCGGGTCGGGCATGCGCGGGTGCGGCTCGAAGTCGATCACGGCCAGGTCCACCCGCACGAGCGTTGCGAGCCGCCGGTCGGTCACCAGCGTGAGGCGCCACTCGACCTCGAAGTAGTGCTCGGGGTCCTCCTCCCGGTTCGCCGACGACTTCTCGCGTCGCGTGTGCGTCACCACCACCTCACCCTCCTCTCCTGCATCACCATCATCTTCATCTTCTCCTTCAGCTTCGTCTTCGCCGGCGCGGCGCTGTCGGTGGCCACGTTCGAAGTCGACGAAGATGCGCCAGGCGTTGGGGCCGTGCATGTCCTTGGTCATGAGGCCCAGCTCGCGGAGGAAGAGCTTGATGCGGAAGGCCGGCGCGTAGATGGCCCGCTGCTGGACGAGCTTGAAGAGGCCCATCAGCGGCCCGCACGCGTAGGCGCCCGAGTCACGCAGAAAGACCACCAGCGCCAGCTGCCCGTCCGCCCCTTCCTCCTCCACGAACTGCGCCATCATCTCCTCCAGCCGCTCCACCACCCCATCCATCTGCTCTTCTTCCTCGCCACCATCGCGCAGGTGTCGTCGCACGGACTTGGCGCCGCACATGACCACGTCGGCCAGCCGCTGTCGCCGTGCCCTCTGTGTCCGCCGCTCCTCGTCGGCTTGCTCCGCGGCCGCGGCGGCGTCGTGGTGGTGGTCGTGGCCGCCGCTGGTGGTGGTGGTGGTGGTCTCCTGGTGCGAGGCCGGATAGAAGGCGGCGGAGGCGCTGTCGGGGTAGGTGGCGAGGCCGGGGTAGGCGGAGGTGGTGAGCGGGGACTGGAAGGCGATGCGCCGGGCGAGACGGGGCAGGTCGGCCGGGATGGGCAGCCGCTGGGGGTCTATGCTCCACATCTGATTCATGTCTTCGAAGATGGAGGGCAGGCTCGCGACATCAAGCAATGCAGAAGAAGATCTGGATGGGAAGGGACGGGCTCGTTTTTGTGGCTGTTGACGTAGGATGAGAAAGGCAGCAGCGGCCACACACGCGAGCGCTGTCGCCGCCGCAGCAACAACCCACCCGGCCGGTACGTTGGAGGACATCGTGCACGTCTCGAAAAATAACGGTACCATTATTATTTTTATTATTATTTAGCGTGTTTTTTCACATTAAACTAAAGTATTTCAACAATCCCATGTTGCTGGATCCGGTGATGTGCTTGCGTTGGTTGTGTCCCCTCGCGAAGTGGCTCGTTCGTGGTTCCTCCTCAGCACCGCCACCCGGAGTAGCGTGTTGCCAGCGCCAAAGCTGCACTGCCTTCGGCACACATCGGGCTTCGAAGAGGTTGGACCCGTCGTTGGCTGCGCCAGGCGAGTGTAGGGAGCAACCCTCTTGCCGCGGGTGTGGCATGATGCGCCGGCAGCCTTGCGATAAGAAGACATGTGTCGTGTACGCGTTGTGGATAGATAGCTTTATGTGATGAGTGGAGTGGACGTCCTGTGTTGAAATGGTTTTTCTTTTTTTCCCGGAAAAGCTTAATTTTTTATGACCACTGTAAGCATGGGTTTGTGGCGGGATTCGAACTGAGAAGTTACTCCGAACCTGAACTGAAGCAAACGGCCACCACAATAACCCCACACCACACACGATTGCGGTTTGGCGGTTAGCTTGATAGGAGTGAAGATGCCACCTGCCATCTGCCCGAAATGCGGGGGCTCGGAATCGGACAGCTATGAAAATTCTCTCATCTGCCTGGCCTGAACTGGTCTAATCGCGTTTTGGTTGCTCGCATTGATAGGTGCTGGAGGAAAGCAACATCGTCGTAGAACAGACCTTTTCCGAAAGCGCCGGTGGCAGCTCGGTGGCCGATGGCCAGTTCGTCTCCGCAACTGGGAGCTCCTTCCGTGGGTTTGTGTGCCCTGCTTGTCCACCCTCTTTCTTCTTCGTCGTCGTCCTCGAGCCTTTCATCTTCTCATCTCTCACCGCTGGCGGCCTGCGCTTGTGTCGTGGTGCAGCATGCGCGGTGTGAATCGCGAGTCGCGCGAGATAACGCTGGAGAACGCGAAGCGGCGGATCAGCAGCATGGCCGGCTCGCTGGGCCTGACCGCCCACCACACCGAGTCGGCCTTCCGCCTCTTCCTCCTCGCGCTCCAGCACAACTTTGTGCGCGGCCGCAAGTCCGAGTACGTCATCTCCTCCTGCCTCTACGTCGTCTGTCGACGAGAGAAGACCGCCCGTACGCCGTCCCCGCTTGCCACAACCCATACAACACCCACGCACGACACACACATGACACACACACACACACGACACACACACACACACACACGGCCACGCCAGGCGTGACTAACATGTCGTTGCGTGGGCGGGTGTGCAGACATGCTTATCGATTTTGCGGATGTGCTGAACGTGCCGCTGTACTACCTGGGCCACACGTTCCTGGACTTTTGCTCGCTGCTCAACCTGCAGCTGCCGGTGATCGACCCCTCGCTCTACATCGAGCGGTTCGCGGCCAAGTTGGGCTTCGGCGACAAGACCCACGCGGTGGCCAACACCGCCCTCCGCCTCGTCCAGCGCATGCGCCGCGACTGGATCATCACCGGCCGACGACCCGCCGGCATCTGCGGCGCTGGTGCGTCTCGCTCCTTGTGTCGTGTGTGTCGTTGTGTCGTGTGCGTGTCGTGTGTGTCTTCCATGACCCACGCGTTGCACTTGGCTCCGTTTAATCGCGACAGATCTGCTCTGCAGGTGGCTCGTGCTGGTCGACGCAGCAGCGCTGGCAGCAAACACGCCAATCGACTTGACAAAGTATCCGGCCGACTTAGTGGTGACATCGTTCTACAAAATCTTTGGTCACCCGACGGGCATCGGTGCCCTCCTCGTCCGTAATGGTAGCCACTCCCTCTCTTCTTGGGTCGAGTGCTCCCTCGTCGATTCTTGGAGGTCTCACACAGGAATTGCACGCATCTGCGATTCAGAAAGCGCCGCACTGTTAAACAAGGCCTTCTTCGGAGGCGGAACCGTGGAGGCGTCGCTTAGCACGGAGAGGTACTGCAGCAAACGTGACTGACTCGAGGAACACGATCGGTGCTTACTGGCGACTGTTCGCTCAGGTACCACGTGCTGCGGAAGTCTGCCTCAGAGCGGTTCGAAGATGGCACGGTTCCGTTCACCAGCATCGTGGCGCTAAAGTTCGGCCTCGACACCCTATTGGAGGGACCTGCGCCTGGAGGTACTGAGCAGCGCAGCCCACGCGAACAACGCTGGCCTGTGATTCACCGCAGCCTCGATGGTCTCTTCTCAGGGATGGCCAACATCCAGCGACACACGTTTTGCCTTGCGCAGTATCTCCACGCCCAGCTGGCCGAGCTTCGCCACTACAACGGAGCTCCCGCTGCCGTGATCTACGGTCGGCATCACCTCAAGGACTCATCCCAACAGGTAGCCCTCATTGTTCACGCTGTGACCGCACCAAGCACCGCCTAACCCACCAGCACGCAGGGTCCGATAGTGGCCTTCAACCTGCGCAAGGCGTCGGGAGAGTGGGTGGGCTACAAGGAGGTCGAGCAGTTGGCGGGGATGGAGAACATACACATACGGACGGGCTGCTTCTGCAATCCCGGCGCCTGCCACTACTATCTGGGCCTCACGTCCGCCGAAGTCAAGCAAAACCTTGCGGTATGAGTGCCACCTTCACATTTTGCTTTCTGAGACTCAGTCATCAATGATGATGAACGTCAACAACGCAGGCTGGTCATGTTTGCTGGGACGGCCACGACGTAATGAATGGGAAACCCACCGGCGCCATCCGGGCCTCGATCGGTTACATGACTTCCTGGGAGGATATCGACGTACGTGAAGCGCTGACCCCTCGCACTCCACACCCGCAGCCGTTCTTACCCTTGCTCTTCTCCCTCACCTCTCCCAGACCTTTTTGAGCTTTCTTAAAAAGTATTTCGTGGAGACTGCGCCTGTGCTGGCCACCGTTGGAGCTCTGAGTTCAGAGGCGCACAAGGAGCTTGACCTCCGCCTCTCGGGGCTGTTCGGTGCGTGAAAACTTGATGTGGCCCCAATCGCTTGCTGGTCGTTGTGTGCGGCCCGTGAGTGCTAACGGCGTGTGTGGCGTGTGGCGGGGGCACAGTCTATCCAATCAAGTCTTGCAAAGGGTTCGAGATCAGCGGCGAGTGGGAAATAGGAGATCACGGATTTGTATATGACAGGGAATGGATGATTGTAGATGAGATGGGGTCCGGTATCAACCAAAAGAAGGTGCGTGGCCTACCCCTTCCGTGCCTGCCGCTACCGCTACCGCTCAGCCCAACGCCTCCGCTTCAGGTGAGCAAGCTGTGTCAGATTCAGCCTTTGGTGGACAGGGAGCAGGGAAAGCTGCATATCGATGCGCCTGGTAAGCACCTCCCTCCGCAAGCGCCACATTCTCAGCATTGATGAAGACACCACGCTCTGCCCACTTACTGACGGCTTACCAGGAATGGAGCGCCTATCGCTTGACCTTGACCGCTTCCCTGATGAGGAAATTGCGCTGGACGTGTGCGGCGACGCCGGCGCAGGCCGGTGTACGGCGACGAAGAGGTGAAAGAATGGTACCTATCCCTCCCCTCTCAGGTTCCCCCCCTCTCCATAGAATGTGACGACAGTGCTGATGCAGCTTTTGATCACTGCAGGTTGCATTCGTTTTTGGGGATCAGGTGCACCCTGGTGCGCAAATCCCCAACCAAGCTACGCAAGGCTGGCCGGAGCCGGGGCGGACAGACGGAGGACGAAGCGGTACGGGCTTAGCCTCACGACATCTCATCATCATCATCAGCACTGTCCTGCTAATAAGTGACTCGGCGACCTCGCACGCTCTTGCGTGAGAATAGGAGGGGCCGAGGCGAGAGATAGCGTTCGCTAACGAAGGGCAGTTTCTGCTGGTGTCAGAGAACTCGGTGGACGACCTCAACCTACGACTGCGCGCCAAGGCCAGTCCGCTCCAGATGGA